ACTAAAAAGGCAAGTCATCTCCTCTCGTTTTTTATGCCATGAAGCTCTTACTTCTCTAGGTTTATTGGATGGCATGAGGGAGCTTTTTGATGAATTGCATATGGCCTTGATTTTTAATTTGCAATATAATTGTAATGAAAGGCTCATATATGAAATTTTTAGTTCGGCCAAGTTTGTGTTGGATGAAAACCATTTTTATGATGACACACTCTCGTTTCGGTTTATGAATATCGAGCACTCTATAACGAGACGTGATTTTGCCGAGCATTTCGGGCTCCGATTCCCCTGGGAGAGGGAAATCCCGGACAATACCATGGATGCATACAACTTATGGGGCAAAATGACCGGAGAACGGAATTTAGCACGTCTCAACTATACATTAGTCACGTGCAACATCCCCTTCTCCGGATTTTCTTCAAATTTATGTGTAACTCCTTGCTTGGCCGCCCCAACAACCACCACACTCGGATAGGGGATGTAGCCATACTCACTCTTGCTCTTTTCCGAAATCCCGTTGAGTTCAACATTTGCAACTTAATTTGGGATCATCTAGAGAAGGCTATTACAAAAGGGGGAAACATTGTCCTAGGAGGAGTCATCATGCATTTGGCTTCCAAATTTGGCTATGTGGATAATGCCACAATTTCTAGAGATTCATTAATGCATCTTGGATGGTTATCCAATGCACAATTAATCTCTTTGGGTAATAAAGACCACAACGGAACCCAACGCTATAAATGGCACATGAAGTACCCCGAACCCGTCAAATACTTTCCCCTCCCTTGCGACGAATTACCTAGACTTAGGTATAAGATGGAGCCCTTTGACATCCCACACTACCTCCTCCCTAACAACATCCCACCACACCTCCAACCTCAAGCCAACCAAGTCGAGCAACAACTCGAGCCTCAACCCGACAACCAACCCGAGCATCAACCCGACCACGCCGCAAATCAAGGATATGAAAATGTCCAACATGATATCCCCGACCTTCCCCATAACCCGCCACCACAAGACTTTTTCCAACAACTCTTGGCGGGGCAACAATCCCTCCTAGCCGGTTTCCAAACCATGAGCATCGATTACACAAAAATGGGAGGGCAATTTGTCCAACTTCAAGAAGAGATAGGCCACTACGGGAGGAGCAACAAGAAAGGGACCGATAATTTGATGCATACCGGACGGAACAACAAGCGGCATTTCAAAGGATGGAGGAACAAAGAGCCGCCGACATGCAACGGTATGAAGAAGATTACCGGAGGATGTATGGGCCCACATATGCCTACATGTCCAACCTAGCCGGTTTTGCTTCTATGATATCACCACCGCCGGCACCTTCTTGGTATAACCCCTCCGATTGGGGTAATTTTGGTGGATCTAGTTCCGGCGGTGGCGGCTATGATGGCGGGGATACTACCATGGGCGACGGAGGCGGTGATGACATGCACGGGAGCGGCTTTGGAGGTGGCTATTATGGTGGAGAAGGCGGGCACTAAGGATAGTGCCATGATTCAAGTGTGGGGGAGGGAGATCCATCTCTTGGTATGTACACTCCCTTTGTTTTTACCTTGTACTAAGCATTATTTTCTTGTATTAGTTGTACACAAAAAAAAAAAAGAAATGAAATGCTAGTTAGGTTGAAAACCTAAAAGGGCAATCTAAGCAACAAGGGCTTACAAAAAAATGATGAGTGAGTGGTAAGGAAAGAAAAAGAAAAGAGATGCTAGAATGAAAACCTGAAAAGGCTCCTAGGCAAAATGAGAGATATGAGAGAAAAATTTGTGTTTTGCAGGACATCATCTCTTCGAGAAGAGGAAAAGAAGAAAAAGAAGAAGAAGAAGAAGCAAGAAGAAGAAGAAACAAAGAGCATAGAGGACCAACAAACCCAAGAAAATGTTGTTTTATGAACTCATTTACAACCTTGGTGGTCTTGTGTTCTTTCTTATTATTCTTAAAACTTATAATCTTTGGTTGAACATTGTACAAACATTTGGTTTCACTCGAGGTCGAGTAAAGAAACTAAGTATGGGGGAGTTGACATTCATGTAATTTCCATGTTTACTTTTGTGTTTTTAATTAGTTTAGAATGATTGTTACTTTGGAAATTACACACTTTTAGTGTAATAGTTTAGTTTGTAAAATGTTTGTAAATTGTTTACATTAGGTTTATTCTGAGCTCAAACAGGTCCAAGATCACTCTAGGTACCATTGGTGAACATCACAAGTGGAGGGAAGGTGCAAAAATTCCAAGAAAAAATGAAGATTCTGATTTTTGGTATTGTACCCGGTCGAGTATGCCCTATACTCGATCGGGTAAGTCGCTGAAAAATCAAATCGGATCAACCCGGGAACAAGGCAACATGCAGGGGAGATTTTGACCACGATCGAGTGTCTATACCCGATCAGGTGGCCGACATACCCGATCGGGTATGTCCCCGTTTTTTGCAATTCTGCGAAGCAACCGAGTACCCGACCGAGTGCCCTTATAGCCCGATCGGGTACACGACCCAGCAAGCCTAAAAAGCCTATAAATACACCCCATTTCCTCCACAATAAACCACCAATTCATATATACTTCTAAGCTCAGTTTAGACAAGTCATTTCTTTATATTTTCTTCATGTTTAGTCTCCAAATGAGGAGCTAAACTCTTCCATCTTGGTTTTGCTACTTTGAAGCTTAATGAATTGTAAGTTGTGAGTTATTTTCTTTAATCTTCTTCCTTGAATATTAATTAATTCCTATTCTTATTACATATTAATATTTTGAGCATTACTTAAAGGATCAACTAGTTTTGTTTCATATATTAATTAATACTAGAATCGGTCGGTTATACGCTTGTTATTAATTCGATCCTTTCACGGTAGTAAACTTGGGTTGTTAATGCATGCGTCTCATGGTTAATAACCTAAGGGGAATTAAATATATTGATTAAACCGATAAACCGCTTGTGTTGAGGTTATCAATCTCAATCATTTTCATCTCTATTTTATTGCTACTATCGAGTGAGTATATGGCGCGTGTTCTATATTAACTCGGTAGTAAGTTTTATTAATGAACGCGTCTCGTTATTAATAACTACCCTCGATGAATTGGATATACTCCTTGATTGAGTATTCGAGAGGAAGATAGTTAAAGATATAACCGGGATCGACGAACATTTCATTAAGTGGATAAAAGCAAAGCCAAGTCTTCTTCTCATTAATTAAACCACATAACTCGTTCATCTTTGTGTTTAAATATAATTTAAGTTCATAAACCAATCATAAAAACCCCCCTTGTTACTTATTTCTAATTCTATAAAAAGAAAATTGTTCCTTTCCCTGTGGATACGAACCTTACTACACTATATTACGTATTAGTGTCGTATTGATTATTATTTTGAGTGCATACACGACAAAGTGCACGTCAATATCATTTCAGGGCAGTGACTAGGGGTAGCTATACTTCACCCAACTTTTGATAAATGTCTATAAGTCTATAAGTTAAGGGATATTAGTGACACATAAAAAATGAGAAATACTATGAAACTAAACAACGCTATTGGCTTTCCTGCCCATATTAGCATTTTAAGAAACACTGTAGTAAGTAGTAAAACGCAGGAATATAATATGAAATGATGTTATTTCTATCTTCTTTATTATATATAAAAAAGGAAGTAGAAGCTGAAGTATATAATCTAAATAGTTTAGGATTTATCAATCAAAGGAAAATATAGCTTACAGTCAACTAGAATGTAGGATTCATCAACAAAAGAAGCAAGATTATACCTATGAAATTGAACCTGAAGTTATTAAAGAATCATTATTTTCAATTTTAATTAAAAAGAAATAGAAACAAAAAACAAGTCAAACACGTAAAACTAATATATTCTGGTTTAGACATTTTCTCGAACACCTCTTGTGCAAAGGAAGAAGAAAAATTACCCAACTAACTAGTTTAGACATTTCTTCGAACACCTCTTGGGCAGAACTAATACATGGTCATTCCCAGCCTTCTTGAGCTAGCATTTACCCATGGGAGATGTATAAATCAACGTCATAAAACACAGAGAGCATAATAATTAATTAAGAAAAATGCAGAGAGCATAATAACTGAGAAAAGCGCAAAGCAAAAACAAGACTTCACTAAAGACGATAAATAAAGGGCAATATTTTGATATATAACCTTCGAATTTCTAAAATGAACCTTAATAAACCAAACCGCGAGAAACATCAGCAAGAGACGACCCAAATATTACAGAAACCTAAGAAATCGCCACAAAAAATTAAGAAACGAAATTGAAAAATCCGGTGCGAATGTTGACCGATAAATATTACGGATGGGCTTTTGAGAAGTAAATTATCCGAAAATACAGATGTAAAACTAGGAGATGTGATTCATATGAAACTTGGTTTAGATTGTGAAAAGGTTGGAGGAGAAGAAGCTGAATGTTGAGTCAGATGAAACTCGAAGCCGCTCTTTAGAGAAAAACTATCTCATATAAGGAGAAGTTGAATGATGTTGCTTTGTTAGGTTTTTTCATTTTATTCCTTGTATGGAGTAACTAAGCTTTGATTTTGGTGTTTGGGATTAATCTATTAAAAAAAAGGCGGTAACTAAGAGTTTGGGAAAATTCATTTGAAAAATTCGTCTAGTTTTGGTAAAAAAAATGGCGCTAGCTTCACTTTCAATATTTTGGATACGAAGTACAGGAAAGTGTTACATTAAATTTCACTAAATGTAACATTTAATAAAATAATGTAACAATGTTTATGTAGTTATAGAAATGTTACATTAGGACCAGATTAAATGTAACTATTACTAAGTAAATGTAACGACAAACTTAAAACCATTACAATTGACCAGTTTTTTGTAACACTTTAAACAAATGTTACAATTTTATTGTTACATTAGACTCGAAAATGTAGTAGTGATTCTCAACAGTAAAATATCCCACTGAAATATCATGAACTTGAACCCAAAAATCAGCTTTATTCAGTGGGACAGACAAGGGAATATCCCCCTCTTTAAGTCTACTCATAACAGTTAGGTTCTCATAAAAAAGCCATGGTCCCTCCTCATCAACCGTAATGACATCCTCCTCATTATAGAATTGGAACACATACCGTCTAGGACCAATTTTAGTTATAGTAACAACATTTTGAGGTTTCCACACAGACGCCATAATATCTCTAAACTGAGAAAAATGTACCGACTTTTCTGATGTAATAGTTCCCACCATGGTCAAGTTGTGTTTCGATACATTCTGTACCATTGGTTCAACCACGAGGACCTCCTCCTCTTCCTCCAGATCCAATTGCCCGTAGATGTCTGCCAGTGCTTCAACCCCACCCGGACTGTCTCCCTTTTCCCAGCCACTCGCCATGGCTTAAACCTAGTCTGCCAAAATCGAACTATGGACAAAGAAGCGGCGTGCGAAGGACAGAGAGCGGCACTCCCTTTCGCGATCCGACTGCCAAGCCGTCGGACCCGGCCGTGAATACTGATAAGCTAGCACAATGAATACGCCCAACCTAAACCCTAGCCGCGCTAGGTCCTCTTCCGCTAGGCGTTCCAAGTGAGAATGTCTTTAAACACCAAAATTCTAGAAAACTTCGTATATATGCATACGTACGTGAGTACGTCCATTTTCTGAAATTACGCTATGGCCTTCATTTTTTCGAATTTGATATAGATGATATTAAGGCTCTGTTTGCAAACACAACTAAAAAAGCACTTCCCAACTTTTGACTTAAAAAAGCTAAAAAAGATGTTTTCAAATGACAACTTCTACTTAAATGAATTACTTAAAAGCTAAAAGCTAGAATCTGCTTTTTATTTTTTCTATTACACAAAAAGCACTTATTTTATCAAACACCACCAACTTTTACTTTTCAAAATCACTTTTTTCTCAAACACTACCAACTTTTACTATTAATCACTTTTTTACCAAATCATTTAAAAAAGTTAAAAGCACTTTTTTGTTGGGTTTGCAAACAGAGCCTAATTGCTGGCGTATGATCTTCAGAATTTTCTTTGAGCTATTGTTATTATTATTCCAATCAATGGCAAGATCAGAAGCCTCAGATGAAATTCGTACAAACATTGAAAAACTCCAGACGAGATACAGTTCCTGGAAAAAGAATCCTTCAACCCCAAACATATTAAACGCTCATAAACCCAAGAAGATGATGGTTTTGCCACGCTATCTCTCCCCTCCATTGTCGTCCTGTCATGATAACTGCAAGAAAATCCCTGATAATAAGAACCAATTTTCGTCAAAAACCTGTCATATAAAATCTAATATGCAAAAGAAGAAGCAATCTGCAGCGGTTAAGACAAAACCAACTTCCTCTGCAGCAACAAACAGACAACAAGTTTTAGGATCTCCAGAAAATCTGAGCAGATCACATGCAAAGCCAACGATTTCTCGATCAGGAAAGACAGGCAGAACCAGAACCAGCCGCATCATTCCCAGGCGGGAAGATCAAGAGGAGGAATACCCTCCAGAGAAGACAATATACGTGATTGAAGAACATAAAGAACAACCAGAAGCGCCGCCTGATAAGAATTGTTCAGAAGATAGGGAGAAAGAAAGTCCCGATCTTTTATGGAGAGGGAATATCATGTACGGAACGTTGTGTAAAGAGGCGGCCAGTCCGAGGAAAGTTGTGGTTCCTGACACATTTGTACGAGGAGAGGAAGATCCTGTGGAGTTGTTGTCAGGTCATAGAATGAGTGTAAGAAAAATTGAAGCAGAGAAAGATGTGAGGACTTTGATTGGTGTTTTTGAGAGTGTGATCTCTCTCCATGATGGAGCTTCTTCACCACCATTATTAAGATGAGGTGAATACATGCATTTACAGAATTGAAGGTTAATGTAAATATATAAGCATGTTTCTATATACGTAGTATGACACAGCCCTTGAATCTTGATTATTTTCATTCAAAAATGGTGACTCTGCCTCTCCTCAATTATCGTGCAAAGGACATTTGTGTATTTGACGGAGGATTATGATAATGAGTATTGTGTGAAGCAGAGTTGTGCATAGAAGAATGAATTTGTAAAAAATGCATTGAATCATAAATTGTTTGCCAAAAAAGAAAATGGAAGATTATTTTGGAACAAACAAAAATGAAAATTTGGAAGATAATTCAGGAACAAAGAAAGTAAAATACTAACATAGGGTCGTGACAACAACCATCAATATAGATAAATGCATAGAACGATTATTAATGTGTATAGACTAGTATGCGCTACCTTCATCCCAATAACATTGGAACATGAGGGGATGACACGATTACTAAGAAAATTGAGTATATATAATTCATATTGAATTGGTAAATTAATAATAAAATAAAAATGGTTTAGAGCATAAAAAACTTTACAAAATTTGGTATGAGATAATTTTAGTGGGATTTCCCGAAAAGAAAAAAGGGAAAATTGTCAAATAGGTCCTCGAACTTTCATAAAAAGGTCAAATAAGTCCTTGTATAGGAGGTTATGTCCGGCCGTCGCGATTTGGGGAGGTTCTTGGTGGAATTTTTTAATGAACATTTTGGGCATCTTATAATTTTATTCATCAAGTCTAGATTACTCATACCTAATTTTAGCTAAAACTTCAATAGGGAACGCATTCAAATTAATTCTTCAAGATAATTGTGCAGTTTAATGCGCAGTTATCTTCAAGAATTAATTTCAATGCGTTCCCGATTGAAGTTTTAGCTGAAATTTGGTATGAGTAAACTAGACTTGATAAATAAGACACTAAAAAAATTTCATCAAAAAATTTCACCGGAAACCGCCCCAAATCTCGACGGCCGGACAAAGCCTCCTATATAAGGACTTATTTGACATTTTAATGAAAGTTCGAGGACCTATTTGACAGTTTTCCCAAGAAAAAACGGGACAAATTTAGCGGGTCAAATGGAGTACTAACCTGTAACCCAGCTTATCTCATCACAAGTAAATGATTTGAATTACTAATTAGCAATATTCATATTGACGCATTCCATTAGTAGCTTTTGGACTTGCTTATTTGACTCGATCAATTAGGTGTTACAAAATGTTTATCCTCATCTTTTCACATAAATAAGAAGATTATGCCTTTTTAGGCAAATAATACATACCCATTGGATACTAGGATTTGATATAAAAATAGGGGGTTTAGGAAAACATATATAATACCAGAGCATAAAGAGATCCCAAAATATGAACAAAAGATTAATCCTGCAGTTTGTTAAGATTTGGGGTTCCATCCTAAAAGGGTCAACCTGTTAGGAGGAACTCATGTGTTAATATACCAATTTGTTCATCCAAACTTTTTCGGTGTGGGACATTTAACACCTCTCTTCATGACCTGACACTTCGTCTGGATCGTGCCGTCATTCATTTTTTTTCGTCGGTTCGTCGTTGTCATTTTTTATAATCGTGTCATCATTTTTCATAAGGGGGTCCCACACCATGGATTGATTTGGTTCTGATACCATGTTAAGATCAGGGGTTGCATTCTAAAAGGTCATTTTTCATAAGGGGGGATTAATTAAATAAAACCGGCAATTAAAGATTAAGGATGTTTTTAGATATTGAAATGTAATTTTCTTATCTTGTTTAGCCTGATCTATTTTGTCTGGTTAAGGCCTGGTTCACGTGTCTTTACTATTGATTGAGTCTGAATTAATTATATTTGGTCTAATCTCATCTGATTTAGTTTTGGTCTAATCTCATTTGGTTTAAGACTGAAATTAATCCGATCAGAATATTTCACGTATTTTCACACCTATCGCCTTGTGCCACTCAAACTGTTCTTAAATTTAGTCATTATCAAATCCATTCTATCTTTATAAAATCTACCCTAAGTTACGTTTATAATGTTTCTAAAATGTTATAATGGTCAATAAGGGTTAATACCCTTTTGGGTATGAAAAATTGTTCGTGTAATTCTACAGCATTATTAGGTGGTAATTTCTGCTTAACTTGTTGTACGGTTCATGGTTTAGTTGTCTTGTCCGTAGAGCTTCCGTTAAATAAAACTCATGATCTTATTGTCTTCCGTTAGTTATCGTGTACTCCGTATTTCTTTCGGTCTGCGTCTTTGTTCTGACAATCGGAAATTGGAAATAGGGCGTCCATTCCACAGCGGACTGCACACAAACGAGGCTTGCCCTTCCGGCTTCAGTGGGACGTCGACGACAACAGACTCAAGCGGCAACCTAGATTTAGCCGAAACCCACAATACCAGCTGCGACTAAAAATCAATCTACGTTGGCGGTGAGTCCTAAATGGTAGCAGACTTAAATCGACCTGCTAGAACTCGGGTTAGTAAGAAAAACACGGCTGCTATCAGTAAATTTAGGCGTTATAGGAGACTCAAGGCAAACGAGTCCCTTCACTCCCAGAATCAGCTGGGCAAAGAAAGGAGCAATCTGGAGAGGTGCGTCGTCAATTGCAGCTACGGCAAAATGCAACTCCAAACTGAAAAAGGCACAATCCAGTAAGGTATCAGCCTATTCTTAAGTCAGATGGGTGTGAAATTTCAATTGAAAGTAAATGCTTTGGATTCCATATAATCAATAGTAATGCACTGAAAAAGAGGGCGTCCCCAAAAGACTAAACACGATCTTCCCTATCTTGCTTTTAGTAAGAAGAAGATCGAAGCAATAAAGAATTGGACTGAGACAATTTGAGGTTTTGGAATTACTCACAACTTTACTATGATAAATCAACTTAGATTTGAGTGGTTAAATCTATCCTCCTTATCTGATTTTCTAGCCTGGCACTCACCTTGATCGGAGTGTGAAGAACATCAAATATATTGATTTTGTTAGCAAGAAGCTTATTATGTTTTTGGTGGCTGACCTTTAAAGATCTATTCCATGACAAATTTGTTGAATTGATTCATTCCAAATTTGCTTTGACTTAGTGCCTTGATACTTGTTATTTTTCTTTCGATGTTTTAGTTATTCCAAATTTCGTAGTGGTAGTTATGTAACTGTGTGCCTGTGCCCTAGGTGTTGCGATCATAAATTCATTGCCATGGGAGTGTCAGTATAAATGTCTCGATTATGCCTTTCTGTTTGCTGTAAGTAATTTACCATAATCAAATCTGTACCTTCTTTATAACTTTTTATACAAGTCGGTTCTACAATATTCTCTGAGTTCCACTCATGAAATTGGTTAAGAAGTAGGACCTATCTTGTTTTTATCATATTTTTGTTTCATTATATCATTGGCTCATATTAGTTGACATAGGTAGATCATATCCATTTATCTGTATAATTGGGTGTACTGTTGTGTATGATGTAGTTATGTGATGTTAGTTTATGCAATATATTCTTCTAAGCTTTAAATGCAAGATACTTGTGACTTTGATAAGGAATAAATGACAGTCCTAGAAAAAGATATGCTTTTGATAATTGTTGATAGTGTTCCAGCTTTGGACACCCCACAAAGACAAAACTGTAATGGAAACATGCAGAGAACATTCAAAATTTATTTATGATTTTGCTGACCAAAGATAGTTCAGGTTTAAAACGTTTATTTGAACGTGGTTATATGTCATCTATAAGACTTTGTAGTCTTTTACTACTTTAGGCGTGTCTATCTCTCAGATGTTCATCATTCCTTGATATGTTACCACTCTGATCAAACAAAGAAAGTCAGAAGCAGATCCAGTAGGCATATGAAAGAGTGGCCCTTAAATTATGCGTCTTTGAGACATCAAATTATGCGTGTCTTATTGTATTGTTTGATAGCGGCATGATATTAGGTATAAATTTCCATGTTAACGTACTTAAGTAGTTAAGTACCATAAACTATATGTTTTTCTTTGAGACACCTTATCTATACTATCTTATTTGGAATGTCCAAAATTGAATTACTCCTAAGTGGTGGTGCACAACAAGTGATGTTTACTGCAGATGTAATTTTCACAGATGGATAGGTGAAAAAATGTTTTTCATGAATGAGGATCATATTGTGCACAACTTTTGCATGAGTGCATCACTGCAAGTGTGAATGTAGGAAGTTTGAATACTTTTGCTCTGAAGCCCGACAAAGAGTTCTTTTAAAGTAATACTTCTGTTATTAAATATTTGTTACTCCGTACTACGTAATACATTTTGGTTCCATCTCATGGTTTGACTGCCTCCCCATTCATGTTATGCATGTGTGTCTTTAATATATACTCCACGTTGTATTATGTTTTGACTGAAATGTTGGGCCCGTGACTGCAAAGAGCTCAAATAGAAAGGTCAAGTTGGGCCATGTGCCCATGTAGACTTGAATGTTGAAAGGCAAGTTCCAGAATGCACATTTTGAGCTTTGAATGTTGAAAATACTCCCGTGTTGATCACTTTGGTCTAGACTTCATTTTATTGGGCTCTCAAAGTTCATATGGGACTATGTTTTTTTCTTTGGAATTTTAAGAAGTTGCACGTTGCTGAAGATAAAAAAATTATGTACTACGTATTTGATTCTTATAGGGTCCGTTTGGAACCTATAAATTATTATGAAAAGAAAATGAGGAGGGAAAAAGGAGTAATGTTGGACGTGGATTTTATTAAGGGTAAGTAAAAGACAGTTTCAAACTTGATAAATATATGTTATGTGTAATACTCAGTATTCAATATGACTGTATATATGTTATATGACCTCTACAAAGTAAATATATTTTACAAAAAGGCATAATCGAGAAATTTATACTGACACTCCCATGGCAATGAATTTATGATCGCAAAACCTAGGGCACAGGCACACAGTTCCATAAGACCATAACTACCACTACGGAGGACCTGCAAATATCGAAAGAAGAATAACAAGTCTCAAGGCACTGAGTGAAAGTAAATTTGGAATGAATATTTTTTTTTCATTTATTTCATTTTCATTTACCCCACTGGTCAATGCGGCAAAGGCTCCC